TAAAGTTTCTATAGGGCTGTTTAAATGTTTGATTGGCTAAATATGACCACTCTTTGGAGGTTTTACTGTAATTGTTGATACAACCAAATGAATATACAAAGAGGAATCGGAAAAAATTAAGCAACTAAAAATTGAAAAAAATACAATGTCCAAACTCACCAGCTATCATATGATGATAGTGTCGAAGTATTTCAACACAATCAAAGACTTCATCAAGCTTGAGTTGGTATGCAAGAAGTTTGGTGGTTATATGGAAAAGTACAATTTCAACCCGATTCCATTGACTTGCAAAACATTTAGGTTCTTCCGAAACATCGAAACACTTCACTTGTGGAATGAAGAAAATGAGACCTTTGGCAATGGATTTTTGATCAACAGAAAAGAAAATAAAGGCACTAAAATTAAAGATGTTGCAAAGAAAGTGTTCGTTCATATCATTGTTTGGTTCAGTGTTGATTTTGAAACTGTTGACAAAAACAAAAGTCGAAATATCGAGTTTAAAAGTGTTAATTACACCGAAAATGATAGAAATAAATATGGCAATAACATACCACTAAAGGTAACATCAGTTAGTGATCGTTGTTTTGATGGATGTATTAATCTGAGCAGTGTTTTAATACCATTGAGTGTTAAATCCATTGGTGATTATGGTTTCAGTGGATGTAGCAGTTTGACTAGTATAAATATACCATCAAGTGTAACATCAATTGGTGATTATTGTTTCTATAATTGTTATGGTATGAAAAATGTTATAATACCATCAAGTGTTGTATCATTCGGTGATTATTGTTTTAGTGGGTGTATTAGTGTTAATAGTGTTATGATACCATTCCGTGTTAAATCAATTAATCAATATTCTTTCTGTGGATGTAGCAGTTTAAGAAGTGTTTCAATACCATCTAGTGTTACATCAATTGGTGATAATTGTTTTTATAAATGTACTCGTTTGAGTAGTATAACAATACCATCAAGTGTAACATCAATTGGTGATTATTGTTTCTTTAAATGTATTAGTCTGACAAGTATTGGAATACCTCCAAGTATAAAGTCGATTGGTGATTTTTGCTTTAATGAATGTAAAAATATCATCAGTGTTTTGATACCAACTGGTCTTACGTCAATTGGTATTCAATGTTTCTCAACAAACACAAGAATTTATCGAGATTTATGAGATAATTTAGTTATTACTTATTTGTTATTTGAAATAGTTGAATAATAAATTTAATAAATTGTTAAAATGAAAAAAGTTGAAAAAGTGGTGTCGGTTGTGCATGTGAGATGGAAATTCCTAAAGGTAATTTTTTCATTGGTTTATCTTCTTATTGTGTGGGTTTTTGTAAATAACAAATTAAAAAATCCTATTGGGAACCAGTGAATACAGGGGCAGACCTTTCCCACCCTCACCCCGTCTAAATATAGAATTAATTTACTATATTTTATAATTTTATAATTATAATTATAGTAAATGGGCGTTTTGGATAATATTAGGTATGGTTCCCGAATTCAAAAAATGCCGAAAATTCACCTCGAGTTAGTGAAACCAAGTGAGACGGAGCATTGAAAAAAAGGCTCATAAAGACGCACTCAAACAGTCTGTTTGTGCACCGTTTCACCCACTTTCCAAGTCCTCCCTTGGCGCGGATCCCCCTGACCCCCCCGCAAGCGGGGGGGGGGGGGGAACCACATCCGCGTCCACACAGTACGGAAAAGGAAAGTGGGTGACACGGGGACGCACAAACAGTAGCTGAGAAGTGGACTTCCTTCAAAAAACACTCGCGGCAAATATTTTTTTTGTTTAAGGTGGTGGTGGTCAATATAAGTACCGTTACCAGACTGACTTTATGAAAAAATGGAGGGATGCGACGGAGGAGCATCCCATAAATATAATTAACCAAGTAATAAATTAATATTTGGTCGAAAATTATTGTTGCTGACCCGATAATTATTTATCAGGTTTTAAAGTGCTTGTCATAATTATTTTTTTTAAATAAAAAAACAATTTTTATATTATAATAAATTATATTAATCATTAAACTAATATAAAACCCGTTTTTTGGTATAAAAACATCCAACTGTATCAAAGAATGAAAAGATAAAAAAAAAAGATATAAAGTTGTGTATAAACCTGAATTATGAATGCAAAATAAATATCCCTATTATGGACCGCAGCTCGGTTCGATTTTAACTAGTTTTAACAGTACCACCACACCCCACCCACTACCAAACGCGGGTTTTGTTTATGGTCAGGATTATATAAAAAGAGATTTTATATCAAAAACACGAGAAAAGCTTCGAGTCGTGCAACCGTGTACGCCAATTTCTTTTACTCGTAAACGACAGTATACTGTTGAGGAAGTTTATAGCTATATACCAAGCGGTGGATATGACTCCGACGTTAACAGAGAGAAACGCACAACCCAAAAACCAATAGTACAACCAGAAACAATACCCTATGAAATGAATGACCCAAACAACAAACGATCTCATTGTATCATTGACATCAGAGACGAAGAAAATGTTTACGCGAAACCACCCCACACAGTGATTGATTTATGCGTGCCGGAACAACAAACCCTTCCAGTTGGTGTTAATGGCAACAACCAACAAACACCAACCTTTGTCGATTATTTCAATTTATCACCGACGCAGTACCAACGGCACAACTTTACACAAAAAGAAGTCCAAAAACGACTTAGGACCACCCAAGAGCTAATTGGAGGCGTTGAAACAGACATTTTGAATGAAAGAAACACTCAAAGAGTAACGCAACCTGAGAGCTTTGGAGTCGGTCCTTCTTTTGATTTGAATTTGATCAGTGACGATTCGGTGGAGAACAACTTCGTGCCGATGGAATTGGAACCGAAAGAAAGCCACGTTCAAATTGAGGTCATTCCAGACTCAAAAGAAAGTGATGACCACCAAATGCAAGTTGAGGAAGTACAGCCATTCAACACAGGTGAAGACCTTTCATTCGACGAATTGATCCTCCCAAAAGTGCACTTTGAAAACATTCAACATACCAATTCAGTCAATTTAGAAACTGAGAAAAAACTCAGTGAATCTCTTCTATTGCCGCCATTCAATTCGTTAATGGTTCAAAATGGTTCTGAAAACTATTCCCAAACTATTCGACAAAACAAAGATAAGAATTCTTCTATCGACGTTAATGAGAGTGTTCAGAATACTACAACGCCTTCTACGATGTCAAAATCAAAAGGAGGTGCAAATATATCGATGGAGGACAATGACAAATTTAATGTAACGTTCAAATTTGTTCCAAACGATTTACCAACTGAAATTATCAAAGAAAAACTCGACGATTTCGAGACGGAGTCAAATGACATCTCACAAACAGAAGATTTGGATGTCACAGAAAATGGGGAAATGGTCGAAGATGAGTTCAATGAACACAGTATAACTCTGTTTAACAATTTATTACGGCGCATTCACCCAATTATGAAGACAAGCAACACGACATTCAGTCGGATATTCATTGGGAACATATGCCGATTTGGTGCTGATGTGCGATATTGGCCAGAAGACACTTTCAGTGTGTTTTTCGATCGCAGTCGTTTACAGTCAGTGATCAACTCGTTTTTGAGAGTGAAGGAAATTGACAGAAACATTGTTAAAAGTGCCGAGTTAGTAACAAAGGCGCGGAGGTTTCTCTACAAACTGCAAACAGCCGACATGGTCATTATCCCATCTATCGACGAGAAGTGGTGTGATGGCCTTTTTGAAGACAAGGCAAAGTGTAAGAAGGCAAGAGAGTGGTCGTTCATTAATGATATGAGATTGTTGTCGTCTGTGTGTATGTATGGGGCTGGCGTGTGTCATTTGTATCTCAATGATGAGGTGCTTAACACCACACTTACTGTTCAGTTCAATTTGGGTTTGTCTTTTTTGTCTTTTTTTGTTGATGTTTAGAAAGTGACTGATAGATACCACAAGTGAAAAGGTGGCATTCATGGCAAGACGACTTGCTCTTCTTGGCGACAAGTTGTGAAATGTATTTAAAATTTATATCTACAACGCTAACATATTAATTGTACCATTTAGTTGTATTTTGTTGTCGACTTTTTGCGACCCAATCACTGTGCTAACAAAGTTTTAAACAGAAAGCAAATACTTTCTATTTTGTGTGTTGACACAAAGTTGTTTAATAATAGAAAAGACCAAAAATAGAGTACAAACTTCACCACAAAATAATTTTTAAAACATATAACTTCACCCAAATAGGCGAATAAATGTACTATATATTATAATTTATTAATAATTATAATATAATACTCAAATTGTGTTGAAAAAAATCAAACTTCACCATGAATTGTAATGGGTATATAAACACACAACTAATTAAACAAGGCAACAAATTAACAACACAATGTCTCAATCGGTCAAAATAGTCATGTTAGGTGGTGGTGCAGTTGGAAAGTCAGCACTGACTGTTCAAGAGGTCTCTGGACACTTCTTGAGCATCTACGACCCAACAATTGAAGACTCATACAGAACATCGATATCAATTGATGGCAACATTTATACTCTTGAGATTCTTGACACTGCAGGGCAAGAAGAGTACATGGCACTTCGGGATTCGTATATAAGAGGAGGTGATGGGTATGTGCTTGTCTATTCAATCACATCACAATCATCGTTTTTGGAGGCGAATGCGGTCAGAGAGCAGATATATCGAATTCTTGATATGGAATACACACAACACATTCCTATTATATTGGTGGGCAATAAATGCGATTTGGAGAGTGAAAGGAGAATTCAAAGCAAGGAAGCACAAAACATAGCAAATGAGTGGAAGATATCGTTCATCGAGTGCTCTGCCAAAAACAAAATCAACGTTACTGAGTTATTCCAAATGATATGCAAAGATGTTGTTGCAACACGAGAAAGCAAAAGGATCGAAGATGAAAAGAGTATGGTTGGTGAGGTGTGTCAAAAAGGAAAGAAAACAAAACATATGAAAAACAAATGCAACATCTTTTAGTTTAAATAACACTGTTCTTAGCTTTAATTTTTGCTACACTTTATAATCATTTAATTGTTAAGATAACTTGAAGATTCATCAAAATGCTTGGGCTGACAATAATTATTTGAAGTCAAAAACACATATAAAATAATTAAAAAATGGTAAAAAGGTTTGAAATGCGTGTCAAAAAAAAATTAAATATTAAAAGAATTAATTAATATTTATGAACTTTAACACCTCAAATAACATTGAACAAAATTTAAGTGGTTTAAAAATAAAAAATTTCGAGTTTATTAAAAATAATTACATTTTTTAAAGTTTATCTTATGTAAATAACATTACACAAGCAAAATAGTAAATTCATTAAAAATTGAATTAATATTCAGTAAAAACGGGCCAATTAAAAAACAGGAGAGGTATTTTAAGTGCTAAAAAAGTGTTTATTAAAAATATTTGGTAAATTAAAAAAAATATTTCTTTCTAATTATACATATTTAAACAATTGTATTTTAATTTAAAAATATTGTTTTATATTCAAAGTATATAAAGTCTGTTTACTATATTACTATATCGGGTTTTTACTATAAATTATAATAACAGTATTATAATTTATAATAAAAATAAAGTGGTTTTTCAAAAAAATGGTTTGTATTTTATTTTATGGTTCTTTTTTTATAAAAGTGTGTTAAAAATAACAAAAATCAAAATGGCTAAACAACTAAAAAATTATAAAGCCAAAACGAAGAATAGGTAGGTCTTGAAATGTGAATACGACGAAATAAACTATGTCAACCAGGTTATTTGAAATTAATAAATGTCATATTAGATAGAGTAGACGTGTCAAATTATCATTTGGGTCAAATTGAAAACAACAACCAGTGATTTGAAAAAAAGTCAATGCTTAGAATTTGTTTAACATTAGTTTTAATTAATGACAATTTTATTAATAGTTAATGGTTTTTAATTAGCGATATTGAGTATAGTAAATAATGGTTTAATATTTTTGGTCTAGTTCTTTTCTTTGTTATATTTTTAGAATATCGTTAAATAGAAAACAGACTTTAGTTATCGATATGACAAGACATGGAATGATAAATAAATAATTAACAATCATGTTCAAATGTAAATGTTGATGTAAATATAAACCAAAGAGTATATTTTGTATATTTTTTTTGATAATTGAATATATCTTTTATATTCTAAACAAGTGAGACCATTATCATTGTGTAACCACATCAAAAAAAACAATTATTTTCCATTAGTTTATTGTTGATGATAACATGTAACAAACGTTATTGAATACATATATCTTTTTAATTCATTCTTTTTAATTACACACATAAATAACATAATTATAAATTTGACATCACATTTGTTATTGAATAGTAAAATAATAACATGATTATACAATTACTTTTAATGAATTTATTATGATAATTAATATAACATGATTTACTTATATACTTTACATTTTCATTGAAAAACAAATTAAATATTAAAACAAGTAAATTTTTTGAGTGTGTAAACATATAATTTTAACACTTTAGATTTATTTTTGTTTTTTAATCCTTAAAAAATAACCAAAATTATATTTTTGCCCAACAAAAAACGAAAGATGGAAAATAGAAAGTAGTATATCAAATAGTTAAATATACACATATAAACTATATTTATTAAGTATTTATATACAATTATAATATAAAGTCTGATTTCTAATTAAAGATATTCAAAAATACAACACGGAAATTTACTATATCATTTTTTATATTATAATATATAGTATCGACCATCGCTAATTGAAAACCATAAATACATAGTTATTATTTTATTAATTTTTACCATTTGACATTCTTAAAGAAACACTAATTGTCAATCGTTTTCTTTGCTTTTCTAATTAATTGGTATAACCTATTAACCACACCACAACAGTGACACTTCTGTGATTAACTATAATAAATGGTCTGCTGGTTGTGTTGATATTATTCGGAAAATGGCCAGATAAGGAATTACAAACTCCACATTTCTTGCTTTTCTTTTTTTGAATGTATAATATGGTTAAAAAGAAAAAAAAATAAAATAAAACCAAAAAATGTTTTTTTCAAAAAAAAAGTTATTGATCATAATTAAAAAAAACTATATGTACTGTTAGTTTTCTCCATCGTTAATTAAAAATCCAATTTAAAGGGGCTGAAAAAACCGATGTTGCCTAAAGTTGGTAACAATAGGTAAAATGTTTTTTAATTATTATTTTGTTATTTGTTTTTTACTTTTTCAAAAAAATAAAACCAACATTTTTGCTTTGCCTGAGTATTATTAAGAAGTGTTTCGAATATGTTGTTAATAATATATTTATATTAGGGAGAATACATTATATAATACATGTATTTGTTTAATATAATCGGGAAACCGATTGAATTATTTATAAAGTGATATTTATAGTTGGATTTATTGAGACAAAACCCATACAAATTAAACAAAGTATAATAAACAGTTCGTTTAATACAATTAACGAGATGGTTTATATTTTCGTTAGTTACGATTAATCACGATGTAATGTTGATCACTTTGTTTTCTGTATTTTTCTTTTTGGAACTTTCCCCTTTCATAAACTAATCAGCTGTAATAACCTAAGTTGTTTTTTTGAAATCTATGCTCTTAAACATTATTAAATAAAACAAACGTCTCTTCTGGTGGTTCCGGACAGTAATATATAATTATTGTCGTTGAATAATAATTATTTGTATGCATATACGACCTTCTCATTATTTTTTTAGTTCTTAATTTCCCAAGTTCATTATTTGACAGTGTTCATAATCATGATAAACAAACGCGTTTTCTTCTGAGTTTTAATGATTGTTTGATTTCAGATTTTCGAAACTTTTTTATACCCATTTTTGTTGTAAATCAAACCTTTATTATTAAAATATTATTTTTAATACTATTTATTTTATAATGTATCAATTTTATTTTTAAATTGTCGTTATTGTTGAGTGTTTTAATATATAATACTCAGATTAAAATATTACTATTTTAAATTAAATTAATATAATTAACATATTACAAATACTTTATTTAATTATAGAAAAAGGTTTGCGACAAAAAATAAGACTTTAACCCGCAGTTATTTTTCGGGGTTTCTGGGTTTTTTGGCTTGACTTTGCTTCCTGGTGTTGGTGAGTTTCTCACGTTGAAAACATTTTTTCCTGTCTTCATAATTTTCGAGAGCAACTCTGGTCGCTCCAACAACTTTAGGTTCTGCAGCAATACCCAAGAATTTGCAGACTTCTCTTGCCCCATTCATGTCCACTTTTACCACCCCCGTTATGTAATCTGAAATATTGTAATTTGGCGACTTCTTTTGTATCTCCTGAAGCTCGCTTTCACTGGGAGTGTGTGGCACAAATGATATTCCTGCTTATTTAAAAGAGCTCATGACATTGTTTCCATTTTCCACACACTCCCAGGAATAGATTAGCTCTCTAATTTTTTCCTCTTCAGACATGTTAATATATTTTTTCATTGCTTGTTAGAACTCTGGGGAATCTATTTGAAGCAATTTACCACTTTTTTCAACATTTTTTCCTTCTTTTTTTTAATAAAGTGAATTTGTGGCAAAGATAGTTGTTTTTGTCCGCCAAAAATTTCTTTTGGTTCCCGAATATTCCCAAGTCCATTGGTTGACATAAATGGGAACTGTGAGGGACCTCATTAATCATTTCTACGTGATTTTCCAAAAATAAATTTTGAATTTCTTCAGAAAAATGGCCTGAAAAACCATCAAGAATTAGGAAAGCTTTCATATCGGCACGCACACCCATTTGTTCTCTTTTTGCCTTAATTGTCCGGAAGAACACTTTTTTAACCAGAGGGTGTATAATTCAGTATTCAAAACACCTGATTTTTGTGTCCTTATTAAAGCCCGACTTTTAAGGGATATAATAGCAACATCTTCCAGAGAAAGTCTTTTTGTTACCACAAGTGGAATCATTTTGGTTCCATCGAGGCATCCACAACACAAAAGACTTGTTCTGGAACTTTCTCTTTCAACTTCATTAAACACATCTTGTCCTCTAGAAACTTCTGCATAGACAATTTTTGAATGAGAATCGACCCATTGGTCGAATCCAACTTCATCGAGGTTAAAAATAAGCTCAAAACGGCACCCATCAATTTTCTTTTTCAATTCGGTGTAATATTGCAAAATTGACTCGGGTGTAACTTCTGCCCGTTTTGCTTCCATAACTGGTGCAACATCTGGAATAATTTCTAAATCATTTAGTAGTCTTTTGAGTCCTTTTTTGGGTTTTTTACCAGTTTTATTTTCGTTATTTATTTTGTCGATTTGACAACGAACACTTTTTCTTTCGAAAGTCCCGAAAAAATAGTCAAGCGCAATGGGAAAAGACAGTTTTTTTCTTTTAATATTTTTGAAACATTTTCTGGTAATTCCTTTAAACAATAACGTACTTGTTGACGGAAAGAATCAAATGCCACGGATTTAACTTTGATCTCAAGATCTTTAAAAATAATCATATCTGGGATTTCTTTTAAATAATCAATCACATTAATATACTGTGGTATTAAAGGTTTTTTCATTGTGTTCACTAAACTTTGCAATTTTTCATCTTGTGTTTTATACACATGTTTAACTTTCGGAGGTTTTGATATCATTGGGCTATGAGACATTGATGAAAAATAAAGATTGTTATAAACACTCAATTATTAAACGTGTATTTTTTGATTTTATTTGAAACTTTAGAATATATTTCAACAAAAATAGTTGTGTTAATTATTGATTGTTGTTTTTAACAATTAAATTGATTTTGTTAATTATTATGTGATTGTTTAAATAATTTTGGTGTTATTTTGATTATTTTGCTTTGATGGATTTGTTTTTTTATTTTGCGATGAAATTTTATCGCATTGTTGTTTAGTTTTTTTACAAAGTTTATGTTTTTTATAAAAATAAAATATTAAAAATTATAATAATAAATAACTTTATTTTTAAACATTATTTT